GGATGGTCAGACTTAGTATCATCACACACAGGTTACAGATAGTAATAACTGGATACTGTACTATCTGTAACCTGTGTGTGGTGACCATTCACACATAAATTAGAAATAGTAGAGTATCCAAACAGAACATTAATCAATATACAGGTTACACAGTTGCAGTCTACTGCTCCAAAATCTTGATATGTGATCTTAAATTTGCTAATGAGCAGATTACCAAACTCTAATTAGAATCATTGATTGATAAAGTGTAGACAGTTGCTTAATCCCTGAGAAAGTATCACATGACCAACATGTAGAAGTTAAGCATGCCAGTTCACTAACATGAAATGTTTTGTACCCTGACTAAGCCTACTATAAAGCACGAAATTGATGAGGACCAGTGTATTCCAAGGTTTTCTAAAGCCATTTTGATTCACTCATATAGTACAAAGTATGAAAGTTTGTATCTAAACATTTTCACATTAGAAACAATATTGTTGGAACTTCTGAAAACAACAAACTACATTTGCACTGTAACAATCATCACACACACACAGTTTTTTTTTCTTTTCTTACTTTCAAAATATAAACTTGTAGGTGTTATGGAGTTTAGCCTAATCCCCCCCCCCCCAAAAAAAAATAATAATTTTTTAATAAGATTAGCAATGATATTTTAGGAGTGGAAAGGATTAAACTCCTTTTTCAAGAGTTAAAACCCTCTGTAAAGCTTCTTCTTTCCTTTAATACTCTTTCCCTCTCCTCCCTCCCCTCTTCCCTAATCCTTCCTCAGTGCACACTGTAATAGTTAATATATTGCCCAGCCCAGTTAACTTACCAAAACAAATTTTAGAACTTAATATTGAGTAAAATTTCACCTAGTTTATTTTTTACACTATTAGGAAACTACAAATTACATATTTTTCTGGTGTAAGATTTTATTACACTTCGATTTCTTGTACAAGTTTCATAGTTAATCATGACAAGTACTTTAAAACTGCAACTGAAATTAATTTTTGTATGTAAAATATGTTATTTCTTTTTTCTGGAATAAAATATTTTCTCTAAATGTTGCTGCATGTTTGTGAGTGTTTTGAAATAATTATTTGCTCTGTGTCCGTAAATTTACTGTCCATCGCAACTTGCTTACAGAAACATGTCTAGTGTTATAATTCATAAACTATTTCAATCTCAACCAAAGAAAATATGGGTTTTATTTTATTTAGGAAATAACTATTGGTGATGCTATTTTTGATTATCAATAAGTTGCAACAGTAATTTATAAAAAAATCATTGATTTGTTAACACTTTAAGCCTAATAACTTAGGACTTGAATTATATAAATTAGCTGTTGCCAGTTTAGTCAACCAAGTGCCTTTCACTTACATCTTCAGTATTATTTACACCTGATCTTTCTTACAAATGTTGGCCCTTCAAAATAAAGTGGAGGATCAATTAACATTATCTTCTGACCAAAGCAAGCTACCTACACGGTTCACAATTAAAAATATATACTTTAGTAATGATCACAGTTAATTAGATATAATGTTCAAAGTACACCACTAATTAGAATGCATTGTTAATGATGTTCTCAGCCATAAATATTTAAAACGAAAACTCTTAGAAGTAACTGGTTTAGTGAATCATATTTATCACAGACAGGTCAAAACAGCTGCAGTCAAAGAAATGGCAGTACCTAGACAACACATTAATATGTGTACTTGACTCCACAACTGTGTTGCATGATCTGGTATCACTGTGTAGTCAATAAGTGTGTTTCACTGTCAGGTTTTAGTGTGTACTCTACTCCATAACTGTGTACTGTCAGGTTTTAGTGTGTACTCTATGCCATAATTGTGTTGTACTGTCAGGTTTTAGTGTGTACTCTACTCCATAATTGTGTTGTACTGTCAGGTTTTAGTGTGTACTCTATGCCATAACTGTGTACTGTCAGGTTTTAGTGTGTACTCTACTCCATAACTGTGTACTGTCAGGTTTTAGTGTGTATTCTACTCCTTAACTATGTTGCACTGTCAGCTTTTAGTGTGTACTCTACTCCATAACTGTATGGTACTGTCAGGTTTTAGTGCGTATTCTACTCCATAACTGTATGGTACTGTCAGCTTTTAGTGTGTATTCTACTCCATAACTGTATGGTACTGTCAGCTTTTCTGTATGGTACTGTCAGCTTTTAGTGTGTACTCTACACCATTACTGTATGGTACTGTCAGCTTTTAGTGTGTACTCTTTTCCATAACTGTATACTGTCAGGTTTTTGTGTGTATTCTACTCCATAACTGTATTGTACTTTCAGGTTTTAGTGTGTATTCTACTCCTTAACTGTGTTGCACTGTCAGCTTTTAGTGTGTACTCTACGCCATAACTGTATGGTACTGTCAGGTTTTAGTGTGCATTCTACTCCATAAATGTATGGTACTGTCAGCTTTTAGTGTGTATTCTACTCCATAACTGTATGGTACTGTCAGCTTTTAGTGTATATTCTACTCCATAACTGTGTTGCACTGTCAGATTTTAGTGTATACTCTACTCATAACTGTGTACTGTCTGCTTTTAGTGTGTATTCTACTCCATAACATAATTGTTGTCAGATTAAAAAATACATATGTATATATATATATATATATGAGTTATTCTTTATGCCAATTGTCGGGATAAATGACTTTTATTTATATTTCTTAATAGTATAAATATATACTATTGTTACAACAGCGGAAGTCACGTGACGCTGCTGGCGAGTTTGGCGCTAGTAGCGTGCGTGAAATTTCTTGAATTATCGGGGAGGCCTGAGTGCATTCGAATCGCCCCATTTATTAGTATTGTTAAGACAGCGGGGTCACGTGACGAGTATTCTAGAAGATTCGCTAGTGTGTTGCGACAGCGTTGCATCAACGCACGCTGGTATCACGTGTTGAGAGTCTTAGAAGTTTCTAAAACAGGCAGTATTATCGTATATAAGTGCGCTAGACAGTGAGAGAGACAGACGGAGTCGAAGCAGTAGTGGAGACAGAGACGAAGCAGGCAGAGAGAGAAAGAAAGACAGCGATTACGGTCGGCGGGAACAGAGGATAGCAGACACAGAGATCGGAACTATAGTTGGCGGGTACGGACAATTAAGTCTAAGCGCAATAGAAAGTGAGTGAATTGTTGTGAACTATAGTGTGTGTAACTGTGGAAATTAAGTACATTACAAAGTTGTATTGGGGAAGAATAAACAAGTTTTATAAAGAAAGGTCTTGTATCTTGTAAGAATTAACAAGCAAACATACAGAGACGTAACAAATTGGTATCAGAAGTGGGATAAAAAAAATGGAAACGAGAAGCGGCAAATCAAACTACAGCTTAGCAGACTTGATGGCAGCAATACAAGAGCAGCAAAAAAAACAAGAAGAACGAGAAAAGAAACAAGAAGAGAGACAACAGCAGTTGCAAGAAAACCTGCAACAGTGGCAGCTCGAACGACAAAATAAACAAGAGATTACAGCAGTTGTTGGAGGAAAAAGAAAATAAACAAGAAGAACGAGAAAAGAAACAAGAAGAGAGACTACAGCAGTGGCAACTGGAACAAGAAAGGAAACAAGAAGTACAAATGGAAAACATTAGTAAATTTAAAAGCGAATTAGATACGTTAAAGGACGATCATTGTCTTTAACACAAGGAGGATACATTAACCAACGACTTAATCAGCCCTAGACAATGGCAAGCCCCTTACCGAGCCCGCAGCTAAACCCTAATGCAGACATATTCAGTGACATTAGAAGTCA